AAAATTTCATCACAGCTTGAAAGAGCATCACAAAATTAGTAATATTCCAAAGTTTCGTTGCAAAATGTTGTAAAATGCGGATAATATAGCCTTGCGAAGTTTGTAATTTTCAGTCATTTTGTATTACGCACAGAAGTGGTAACCATTGGGAGTTTGTAATCTAAAATGACTGAAAATTGCAAACTTTGCAAGGCTATATTATCCGCATTTTACAACATTTTGCAACGAAACTTTGGAATATTTCTAATTTTGGGATGCTCTTTCAAGCTGTGATGAAATTTTGGTTAATTGGGGAATGGTCCATTGCAACCAGCGATTGTGGCAAGTTGCAAGCGACCTACATTAAGGCCCATACAGACCGGACGTGATTTGGCAACGCGACGCGAATTTTCAACTTTCAATGAAATTTACTGTAACTTTAATATTTTCTATGTTTTTCAAATATTCGGAGCTACTTAAGCAATTTTAGCTATTTGGTATGCATATCTTGTGAAATCGCGTCGCGATGTCGAATCGCGTTCGGTCTGTGTGGGCCTTAATTCTCAGATGTTGCGATTGACAATGCGCTTTATATAATTCACTGTTTACTTTTTAAGCCATATTAGTCAACGTGGCATGTAAATTACTAAAGAAGTAGTAGGATGAAGCATGTCCGTAATTTCTGGCTATAAAATGAAACCAAAATGTTATATTTCTCAATTATAGTTTAAGTTAAATAAACATTGAAATGGGGGGCTATTGTTACAGCTGCTCCCCGCCTTCTATGCAGGCTAGAAAAAGCTCATACGTACGGTAACATTGAGGTGTACTGCCAGCCCACGTTCCATCTACTTGACATGTAATGCTATCCTTTCCATCAATAAGATACCCGGCAATGCAATGATAGTGTAAGACCTCTGACGTCATAAATCCACTTCCGTTTCTAATTGGTTCACGTCGTAAGGTGTTGTTACCAACCCCAGGATCACGACAAGTTTTTCCTGAAAAATTTTGATGTTCACACACGGATGAATCAGTTCACAAATGTCATTATTTAGTTAATGAAATCCGCAGTCTTTAATTAAAGAGATATGGCAATAAAGATTAACTTTGTCTTACATGAAAGAACTTTTAAAGTTATATAAATTATGAACTTTTTCGTACCTTGCTTGGTTTTCGAAATGTTTTGACCAAAAACAGTGTGCAATCCGCCATCTTGGTATTATAATTGACCCGAATTAACTGAGTTTTTGATGACGTCACAAGCAGGGTAAACCTGTTAGAACTTTTTCATATTGGACTAAATTTCTTCGAAAAGTTTCTTAAAACGTTGTGAGTTAATTGAGTACTAATAGACTTCGGAAAATCGAGTTTCATATTGATAATGACATGTGGTTTGCAAGATAAAAATTTCGCTTTTTACCTTACTTGTGACGTATGCATATCGAATGCATATCCAAGATGGCGGAATGCACGTTACTTTTGATCAAAATAAGTCGATTTATTTCGAAAACCAAGCAAGATACGGAATAATTGTAAAGGAATTGAGTTTAAATGTTCTTCCAAATAATACAAACTTAATTTATATTGCCATATCCCAAAACAATTAACCGCTAATACAAACTGACTCGGTGAGACGATTTCAAAACCAACTTCATTGATTATGGATAGCCCCAGATGCGGAAAATTATAGGAACTGGGAACCTAGTTCCCAGAAATTGTTTTGAATCTACAGTTTTCGTATTCAGGTGCTGCAGCTTTATTGAGCTTCAAAATGGTTTCATTGGCTTTAAAACCTGTCTGTGCCACGGCAAAGTATTCAAAATTAAAATTTGTGACGCGTATTTTACTCTCTAGTGTTTGAAATGTTCCCTGAGAATGTTTGGACAATATTTAAACATTCCATCGTAGAGCATAGCTGCCCAAAAGTGCGTGTTGAAATTTTTACCCTCGCGCGTGGCGCTCGGGCATGCATCGAGTCTACTCAGTGTATTATTATGACAATAATATTGAGCAGCCTATGCGTAGAGTAGCATGGCTGCGATATTCTTGCGTTTTCTAACTAAAATATTCAGCTGTACCACAGAATAATGACACACAGAAGGTCGACTTAGCAAAAAAGTAATATAGCAGCTGCCACGCCATAATTCGCAATGATTCGTCATCAAACTGCTGACGCCATGGTCCTAGCCAGTGCGCTTTTGAGAGGCATTCACCCCCTGGAGGTCCGCCATTTTGAATATTTTTAGGGGGGTGAATGTCTCTCATAAGCGCACTGGCTTGGACCATGGCGTCAGCATCACACCGGTTACGCCAAAATAATAGGCAAAACTAAGAAGTCGATCTTCTGTGTGTCTCTATTCTATGACTGTATTGTTGCTAAACGTGGAATCATTTTGGATTTTAATAGTGATATTATAATTTTCAACAAGGTTGAAACACTATCTACTAAATAACACGCTGAAACCATCCATCCAGTTTCTTCAATTTTTTATCCATGCTGTAACAAACAAAAACATCGTACTTCAAGTAACCCACCACATTTTGGTTCCATTCCGTCCCAGGTTCCTAGACCACGGCACATTCTTACGCTTGAACCAGATAGCGTGAATCCTGGATCACACGTGAAAGTCACCGTTTTGTTGAATTTCCTACCTTGAACAACTCTTCGACCATTTGTGAGAGTTCTGGGTTTCGGAGAACTGCACTTCAAATCTAGATATACGTATATAGATATATTCAAGTTTGAAGGGCATATGACTCGAAAATTGACGGTGTTATTTTTTAGTCTAATTTGAAAGATCATTGAAAACTGTAGAGTAACTTCTTTGACAGAGATTTGTTTTGTTACTTTGTTTTGGAGATATTTCATTTGGTATGATATGCAAAGACCAACTTTCTACGTCACGCATGCATAATGACTTACTTTAAAATGTTATATAATTTTGTCACTATCAAATAAATTCGCTCAAAATGAATGATGGGCACGAGATTTGTCCACAACATTGACCCATGTAGGTTTTCTGCTGATTGTGTTTAATCGTATTAAAGATACACAGCTTTTAGGGCTAAGTCATTATGCATTATTATGTGACGTCGGAAGTTGGGTCCTTTGCATATCATACAAAATGAAATATCTCCAAAACGAAGCAAGAAAACAAAAATCTGTCGAAGAAGTTACTCTACAGTTTTCAATGATCTTTCAAAGTAGACTAAAAAATAACACCTTCAATTTTCGAGACATATGCCCTTTAATTAAACAAGTCCGGCAGTTTGCCAGAATTGTTGTAACTTGACAATAGAATTATGGGAAACAAACTAAATGCAGGTTTATTAGTATTGCATGACCAGTTGCCATGCATGGCTAGCTCGCCACTGGCACATAATACATATCATACAGAGATTTCACTTCTTATTAATTTCAGCGTAAGCGATTTTTCCAGTCCGCCATGTTCTTAGCAAAACATATTGAAATTTAATAATCCAGGGGGTGAGTACTTCTCTTTAGGGCACTTGCTAAGAGCATGGTCGCCAGACATGTGCAGTAAAAATACTCTTTCGTGAACTGAAATCTCTGTGCTCTATGCTCAATAAACTCGACTGAGTAAATTCAGCAGAAATACCTTTCTTAACGCAACTGTATCCACAGTCTCCATCACAAATACATTCTTTCTTACTAGAGGAACAGCCACTGAAAAGCACGCACTCTGGAGCACAGCTCTTGCTTGGTTCTTTGTTTGTCCTTGGGCAAAGTTGACCTGAATATTATTAAGAGGCATTTTCTTTCAATGTCACGTATTTGCGATGAAAAGTGTTCAAAACCGAAAATCTTTTTGGCGTACATCTCAAAATTGTTTTGTTTTAGTTTTATTCTCTAGTTTGTACAGTTAGCACCCTTTTTGAATGCATTTGCCGGTTGAGAAACATAAAATATTTCAATTAAATTATACAATCATCAATGACGCTTTAAAAGTGACGCCATATGTACAGCAATATAAGCAAAACTTACTGAACTTCAGACATCATTTTCTCTCTGGCGTACCGTCTAAAATCTCTTCATTTTGGCATTATTTTAGAGATGAGGGACTAAACATACTTTTTAAAGTGCCTATGACATGAAATTTCACCCCAAAGGTTTATGGTTATATTGTAAAGATCACTTAAAATGACTTAATAATTTATTTTATAGAATTTTGGTAACTTGCTCCCTTTTCAAGATATTCAACTTTGTTTCATATGCAAATATCACATCACACAATGAGTTTTCACACAATGGGTGTGACATCACATCACACAATGAGTTTCCAAAAAAGTATAGTTTTCTTGACGAATACGTATCTAAAAAACTTAAAAATTGCCCTTGTATATGTATTAATTTCATAATTGGTAATTCACGCTCTGTATTTGTTTGTAAACATATTTCATCAAGGTAAAATATTGCGCTTTCAAAATATCATTATGCGATGTGATGTCACACCGGTGATATTTGCATATGAAACAAAGTTGAATATCTTGAAAAGGAAGCAAGTTACCAAAATTCTATAAAATAAATTATTAAGTCATTTTAAGTGATCTTTACAATGCAATCATAAACATTCGGGGTGAAATTTCGTGTCATAGGCACTTTAAGTTTGTTTGCCGATTGAGAAACGTATCGAAAAATTAAAATTTTGGATGTATAGTCATAACAGCAAGTGGTATATTACACTCATTAGTTTTGAGCGCGTGTTACGTAACATGCAAAAAAATTTCCTCTTAACCAAAAAATTTAGTGTTTCTAAACGGCGTCATAATAATTATTGCGCCCAGGGGTCGGTTGTTCGAAGCTGGATTAGCGCTAAAGCCGGTTACAGATGAGCAAGTTTTCTATGACAAGTTTT